GGTGGACTGTCTGTCTGAGTTGTGGCCAGTGGTTTGTTCTGAAAGGGTTATGAGTGAGGGGGGTAAATGGGGGAAGATGAGTCCATAGCGGTGGACCCAGAAACGATTGAAATAATTCTTGAAATTTAAGTCATAGTTTACAAGCACAGACAGTACGTATTGAGGTATTATAACTAATTCTAATACAGTAGATATTATACTATAATATAGTAGCCATAACCATGCAGACTGTGAATGCACACACACACATACCAAGAGCTTTGAGTGTGTCACTAGGTATGTTGTTCCCTGCCATCTCCAGCTGCATTATGCGCTTGTTCTTCTGCAAAGCTTCCAGCAAAGTCCTGCCACCCAACAGACCGATGTTGTTCCACCTCAGATCTGTAAACACAGACGACCACGTTAAACAGCTGGAACAAAGTAAAAGGTAGAGTAACATTAAGAACATTTGAGGGACTACACTGATTTTAAAACAGTTTGGTGCCGTGGTGAAAAAAATCAGTAACAACATCATTTCTAACTAAATGCTGCAATTGCTTTGTTGAGCCGTGAGTTGTTTGATGGCATGTAAAACCACCTGTGACATAAGGTTCACTTATCAGAAATGCTAGATTGCATTGACACTTCTTCTCGTTCCTCTTTCTTCAAAATTGTTCATCCCACTTATAAAGTACGGCATAAACTGTTCTATGGGACAGTCAAATATTTGGTCTCCCAGCACAGGGCCTGTCCAACCACTGACACCTCAGCTGAAGATGTTCAGACAGAAAACAAAAGAAAACTTTAAGCAGGAAACCAACGCTCCATACACACGGAAGAACACAATTAGCTCAAAGAGTGGAGGGTTCTCGTTTGGTTTGACTCGTCTCACCCAGTGCTTGAACTGAGGTGTTGCGTTTCAGGGCCAGAGCGAGCTTGGCTGCTCCGTGGTGGTCGATCTGATTGTTGCGCAGGTCCAGCTGCGTCAGTACGCCGTTGGAGGACAAACCCTCACAAAAGAGCGAGAAGGCTTCGTCCCAAATGCCTAGAGCGTTCCACTCCAACACCAGCCTGGAAACAGCAGCATGTGCTCATGGGTTCGCTGTTCACATTTAAATGAACGTTTATCTCTTTCTTGGAAGATGAAGACGTTTTTTGTCAATTCTAATAATATGTATTAGCAGTTATGTTTGATGAATGCTTCGGCAAAGCATAAAAAAAGCATGTATAACCTTAAAAATGACAAGGCGTGGTCATATAGGCACAGGGACACTCTTACCAGCTCAAATTAAGATTGATGGAGCAACATGAACAAGCAGAACAGACATTTAAATAATTTATCAAAAAACATGGTTCACTTTTTGAAGCACATGGCCAACCAGTGGCTGATGCCCTTTGACCTTTTTTGAACAGATAACTCCACCAAAAGAGCCTTAAGATAATGTCTTAAAATGAAATGTTCCAATAGTAATACTAAAAACACATCAATAATAGACACACTGAGCTTCTCTCTCTCCTTTAATGATACGTCACTAAATCAGCTCCTTCTACGGAGTTTTTGTGCTTTCTCGCCTCGTAGTTTTGTATTAATTATGATTGTGGTCCTGCTTCCTGCCATAGCACTGCTGCTGCTATCACTATTTGTATTAATCACATTACCATTACTGTCATCATAAAGGGACTTTATTGACTTGGTTATATCTGACGGTGGTTGTCCCTGCCGTACACCTGGCTTATCACTCTCAATATTTGAATGATTTGTGTCGTAGGAATTGAATGTATTGTACATCTTCATTGTTGTTCAGTCTGTACATTGTACACCTCTGCCGTTTTTCTTACTTTCTTCTACCTATCAAAGGGTTTTTCCTGTGCCAATGTGAGGATTTTGGGACAGGGGATGTTGCATGTGTACACACTGTAAAGTCCTCTGAAACACATTTGTAATTTGCGATTTTGGGCTATGCAAAATAAAATGTAATAAATGGAACCAATTTCTACTTTCTTAGTTTAGTTTATATTATTTGACATGTTAAAATCACACACTACATACAGCAGCCTTGTGGGGACATTATGACCACATATTTATGCTTTGTAATGCATGTCTCACCTATGTAGAATCTTGTTGCGGGCCAACAACTTCCCCAACACTTCCGCCCCTGTCGATCTCAGGTTATTTCCCTGGGTACAATATCTCACATCAACCAGATATCAACACTTCTCATGAAATAAAATACACAAGGGTCTGAGACAGTAAATAGTCTAGTTGGGCGGGTGTTACCTTTAGATCCAGGACTTTCACAGTTGTGTTGTCAAACAGTCCACTCAGAAGAACTTTAGCACCTGAGAGTCACACAAGCGTTACTGCAAACACTGCTTTACATGATGACATCGGAGTGGAACCAAAATAGATTATTCCTCTTTGCAAACACATCAATGAGCCACACTGTGCACCGGGAGACATGCTCATCATTACCATGGCCGCGGTACTTCATTTTATTCAACATACACGTCCCGCTGCCACAAATACTCAGTAGAGAAAAACAATATAGACCCAAAACAAAAGGGTTATTGCCTACTGTCTCCTGACTAGGATTTATTAAAGAATAATGTTCAGCTATTATAGGAATTTAACTGTGGCTTTTTACATTTTTCACTATACACATAATTTACTTTTTAAGATATTTGTCTTCCGTAGGAGCCAATGGACAATGATTTATCAATTTATTATTTAATTTATTAAATCCATATCCCTCTATCCATCCATCCATCCATTGTCAAACCGCTTATCCTGCACACAGGGTCGCGGGGAGCTGGAGTCCATCCCAGCCAACTTCAGGCGATAGACGGGGTTCACCCTGTATCGGTCGCCAGCCAATCGCAGGGCTAACACACAGACACACAATCATTCACACTCACATTCACACACCTACGGGCAATTTAGAGTCACCAATCAACATGATCCCCACTGCATGTCTTTGGACTGTGGGAGGAAGCCGGAGAACCCGGAGAGAACCCACACAGACACGGGGAGAACATGCAGACTCCACACAGAAAGGCCACTGGGCGGAGTGGAACCAAGGACCTTCTTGCTGTGAGGCGACAGTGCTAACACCACACCACCGTGCCGCCCTCAAATCATATCCATATCAAAATTAAAAGATGCAATAAGCATCCAAGTATATGTTTGCATGCCTTTTGACCCCTGCTGGTATACTTATTATATATTATATTAAACTTACAACACAATACGACAGGCTATATGTAGGCTGTACACACCTTCCTCGCTCAGCATGCAGTCACTGAGCAACACCTCCGTGAACACGGCATCCTTTTGGAGGGCCCTGGCCAGCACAGAGCAGGTATCCGCAGACAGACTCTGTCCGCTCAGGTCCAATCTAGAGCCCTGAGTAGCCCTGCTCTCTTGGAGCTGAGCCACAACACTATCCTGAGGTTCCACGCCACCCTCCTTGCAAAGGCGCAGATACGTCCGCCTGAAATCTTCCATCTTGGGTCACCAGTCGCGCCTTGTCGTCGGAGACATCCAGCGCCTCTTTTTCTCCTCTGTGACTTGTCCTGTCGACTGGAAAAGAAAAGATGATGATTTATTGATGGACAGAAAGTCAACATTTTTATAATATTCATTAATCTTTCTGGTCACTTTCTTAATGGACATAAACATGTTTTGTCATCATATAGTCAGAAATGAAATATCTTTGGGCCATGTGAGTATGTATATGAATAGAATATTGAATATGATATTACTTTTAGTAATTACAGTGTTTACTGTAATTGTGGTTCTCGCAGATAAAAGACCTGCATTAGTATTTTTTTTACTAATCTCTCAATATTTGAGGTATTATAAAAGCAGTTTTCTGAATAATTCCAAACAATGACTAATATATATGTGCTCAGACATCTCTGATTACTCTAATGCCGAAAAGGACATATTTCTACTGTACAAATACAGAGATTTTCTGAAAGTTGTGATGCTTGATCGTGTAAAGACCAATTAGGCACCTCCTGCATCCCGATGGTGGGTTTGGGTCGTCATTTAGAGATATCCAAACCTCCTTCACTAGCATCAGTTGGCTATCAGCATTAATTAAAATTTCAGGAAAATCCAACTAATTTAAACTTGCTGCTTCAATTGAATGGAGCTGAGCTTAAAAATTCTCCACTAACTCCACAAAAAACTCAATCTACCCAACACGAGTGGAACCACCTCTTCCACTAGGAAAAAATATAAACTAAAACCAGGCAATCTAATGGGAAATTCAAACTTTGAGCGATGATTTGCTTGTTATGTTAGCTAACGTTAGTTGGCGCGGAAGAGGTCAGATGTCATCAAATCCAACTTAAAGAAATGCTTCTTTGAGGAATAATATGTGAGCTAGATCAAAATATGGTTCTTATTATTTTAGAAATGTTTGTGGTTACTAACGTTACATTCGTGATATGTTCTTGATAAACTAAGGTTAAATATATTCGGATTTGCACAATTATGAGTGTCGCTTAACGTTTTCGTAACAGGATGGCGAAGTCTCGTACAACAATATCAAACGGTTAAACGACTAAAGATCAAGCCATTTTTCGTGAAACAATAATGAAACAAACCTGAGCGAGTATCTTCTCGGCAGTTATTGTTGTAGACAGCACAGCTGACGGGCGAAGGAAGCCCAGAGACAAAGTAACCCGGAAGTGTGTAACCGCAATGCATCCTGGTCAGCGTAGTTTCGAAGATGTCAGCAATTTGTTGGCCTCTCTACTCATATACGATATATATGAATTAATTAAGAGGTCAACAAGTCAACCGTTTGTATATGATTATAATAATGTCTTGTCATATATTATCAACATTGTGTTATTTTAGCCTGGAGCTCATATAAGAAATAGTTATTAACCTATTGAACCAGCAGACGGTGGAAATTCTCAACTAGCCGCAGTTGGTGACAGAAAAACTAGTAGTAGAAGAAGAAGGGACATTATTGAATCCGTCGAAGAAGAATGATGCAGCATGGGCCATGGCAGGAAACATCCACAACACCGCGGCTCCGATAAGTAGCTCTTTGTCCAAACTACAGGCGCTAAATGGATTGTTTGCGATATATAAAAAACAAGGGCCGACATCTGCAGACGTGTTAAATACACTCAAAGAAGTTTTACTTAAAGGTACTTCGATAGGGATCGGAATGGGTCTAATGTCGCATGTCGTTAGTTGAAGCTAACGGGAAGATGTTAACTTTAACTACTTTCAGAAGCCGGAGTGAAAAACTCAAACCCGCGAAAGAGGAAGAAGCAGAGCCTGAAGATGGGGCACGGAGGGACGCTGGACAGTACGGCCAGCGGGGTGCTGGGTGAGCTGCAGGGACAATTGCTACTGGCGATGTAGCTTATCTCTTGCATAAGCGAGCATGGGTCCGCTTATTAAATTACTGTATGTAGCTTAACCCTTTAGGCTGCAGTTCAATAGTGCAAAAAGGAGTAAATGGTCTGTACTTGTACAGCGCTTTTCTAGTCTTCCGACCACTCAAAGCGCTTTAACACTACATGACATCATTCACCCATTCACACCCATTCATACACTGATGACAGGAGAACCACACACAGTGACACCTGCCCATCAGTAACTAACATCCACACACTGCAGTCGCAGCTACAGGAGCAATGTTGGGTTAAGTGTCTTGCCCAAGGACACATTGACATGCGGGTTAGCAGAGCCTGGGATCAAACCGACAACCCTCTGATTGGAGGACGACCGTGCTCCCCACTCACCCACAGTCGGAAAGCATCCAGGCAGGTCCAATAATGTGTAATAGCTTATATCACTCAATTTGTGTAACTTCAAATGGTTTAGGATGGATAGATATATACTTTATTAATTGTGAAATGTGTTAAGTCTCTCCCTCCAGAAACATTTCAAGCCATACAAAATAGATTGAATTTAATTATTTGAAAGGATTCTCCTAACTGCCAAGAATGCAACTGGTAGATAATTATACATCAATAAATCTAGTGTAACTGCTTTGCCAACAAATATGGAAATTCTGAGGTAATGATGGTCAGAATCATCCCCAAATGGACTAACCTTTAGATGTGCAGCTGTTAGTTAATCCTTCCTTCAGTCAATTGACAAAGATATCTGGCAATGAGTTCTAACACATCAATCAAATCAAATCAACTGATTTCATTTTCTCAATAGTTGCTTCTTTTATTTAGCCTCCCATGACCGTAAACAATGCATTTTAAGTTTTGAATATTTGCTTGACCAAATAAATCCATTAAAGACCATGGACTCTGCAAGGCTCAACACTAACTGTTTTAATTGGTTACCAGGGTGGCAACCCAGCATCCGATTGTGGGTACCAATACGTTCACCAACCCACATGCAGCGTTGTCTGGTTCTGACTGTACGAGAAAATATCCCACTGCTCTTTGTCCTAGTTTATTTGGCGCCCCTACTTTGAAGCCCTGCATGTTGGCATGCCTGCCGATCAAACTTAAATCCATGGATTATGCAATTCTAAAAATAAGAATTATTAATTGCAGCCCGGCCTCCATAATCAACAGTGGATATAGGGGTGTTTTTGCCTCCCCCCCAACACCACCTCTAGGGGGTGCTAGCAATGTTTTGCTAACACTGTCTTCATTTCTTTCAGTTGTTGGTGTTGGCAATGGCACAAAGATGCTAAGTACAATGTTGGCTGGTACTAAGGTGAGTTTATTTGCACTTATGTGTATTATATTATTCCTTTCCAAGCACACTTTTTTTTTTTTAAACAATGATCGATTTTTCAATCGCTAAATTACTACATTTCAAAATCAATCTCAAAATCAAAATGTGCAAGCTTATCCAAATCCAGACCTTTTTTTATGTTTTGACACCATATTTATGTGAATTATCTGAAACCAAAAGCCATATATGTTGGAATTCGATTTTCTTATTTGAAGACACAATTCTGTTTGTGTGACGTAGATGTGTTGCTGTGTTTTACACCTTGATGTATCTTAATAACATCAGTAACAGTAAAACTAAGATGAATACATAACTGATAAGAGATCATATGTTTTGCATTGAGTTCATCAATTTCATCCAGATGAATTTGTATTATTGTAAAATCTAGACTCAGCCAAGTCCATATTGGTATATTTTAGGAATATTATAGATAATGACTGATAATAAGAATCATTTTTATTTTATTGTTTATAATGATCAATTTTAGGGATTCTTTGCACAAATTTCTGATCCAAACTGCTATTTGCCTGGTTCCCGGAGCAAGATAACCTTTTGTTCTTTTAATGTGTCAGTATTTTTTTGTGCAAAATGGTGTTGGCTGAGTAGCTTTGAAGTAATTATGCTGCCTCTAATGATGAGGGTGTAAATCTTCCTCACTACATTGTGCTGTTGTTATCTCAATGTCTCGGGCGTGTATTGTTCAATCCCGAGACGAGGATAGGCTCAGTTGGTATCTTTCAGGGTTCGGACGTGATACTTGCTCCTGTTATACTTTAAATTGTTGTGTTTAAAAAAAATTGATTTTTAAAGTTCCATGTTGTTGGTTATTAATAATTGGTAGTGTTTGTTTTCCAGAAATACGTGGCCGTGGGTGAGCTGGGGAAAGCTACAGACAACCTGGATGCCTCTGGCAGTGTGGTTCTGGAGAAAGACTTTGGTAAACATGGAAGTCATATTTAGTCGCATGTATGTGAGCGGGCCTTACTTTTTGCAGGGTTTTTTTGTTTCCATTTAACAAGGAGATTTCTGTGATTTCTTTTTTTCCTCACAGAACACATTACCAGCTTGGACATTGAGGAGAAACTAAAAGCTTTCACTGGAGACATCATGCAAGTTCCTCCGCTGTAAGTAAAGCCTCCGATCCTAGGAAACCCAGTGATCACCAGGCCCGGGGTTGCCACCCGTAACCTAAAATACGTAATCGTCACATATTTGAGAATAGAACAGCACGTCCTTTTGAATCAACATGGGAAAGGATTTGTCCCCTATTTTCCGAGTTACCGTCAGTGCATCCCATGCAAATAATCCCTCCCCAATTCTGAACACCAATTGGGTAATTCTCGCTGGTCGATGGTCTGGCCGTGAACCTGAAATAAACCAATCAGAGTCAGGCCGGGTCTCTTGGCGGAGTATCGATTTGAAAGAATCCCTTATTTTTCTGTACTAAAGGTGCCAACCCTAACCGGACTTCAGAATGGAGATCTAGTTTCTTTGCCATCCTGACTGCAAGGGAGCTGGGACAGACAATTGCATGAGATTAATCGGTTGTTTTAGAGCTCGATTTCTCTTGATTCTCTATTCAAGATTTCTCATGAATAAAATTGACTCTAAATCTAAACAGCAATTGTTTTTAATAGGAGTAATTAGTGCAGGTAACCCAGCTGGGAACGCTGGAGCGTTGAAGCTCCCGCTTCTTATTTCAATAAGCGACCCCTTTATTGTCGGTGCATCTAAAGGGGGTTGGCTGCCTAACAGGAGGCACCAGACTCTCTACCTGATCACGTGTTGACAATCAAGCTGAATCCTTCAAATGATGCTTTCAATGACTTTTTTTCAGTTTTTGTGAACTCTTGAGCATACTGCTATGATAAGAACACAACTTGTAAATGAAGGAAAACACATTTATTGGAACAGAGCGTAACATTTTGGACCCCCACTAGATGGCTCTCAGAGGTCTGGTGATTGAGAATTGCTACATTAAACCTGCATTGTTCACTGTTGCTGTCCCTTGTAGAGAAGCTTTCCTGCCAGTGGTATATGCACCTCATCTAAGCAAACTGGCTGAGGCGGCACAATTCACACCGAGGAAGCACTTCTGGGTTACAGTGTAACTCTGATTTGGGTTGGATGGTATCTCTAAACTCTGCTGGGCATTTTCAGTATAGTGTGATGTCTTGTCTTGTCATTTCAGCTACTCTGCGCTGAAGAAAGACGGCCAGCGTCTCTCCGTCCTGCTGATGAAAGGTCACAAGGTTGAGGCCAAACCCGCCAGACCGGTGACGGTGCACAACCTGAGGCTGCAGGAGTTCAAGCCTCCCCTCTTCACCCTGGGTCAGTGCGCCGGGCGTGACACAGAGTTTCTCTCTACCACTTCTGACCTTCCGGTTGGAAATGTCTTTTTCCCATCACTTCCTACTCATGTGTATTGATTTTTCTGACAGATATTGAGTGTGGTGGTGGATTTTACGTTAGAAGCTTGGTGGATGACCTGGGAAAAGGTGAGATTTACTCCTTCGTCAACCAGCCCATCAGAAATCCACCCAGCTGACCTTTTTTTTCCCGTCCGTGAGAATAACGCGTTGCCTGTGTACCACACAGCTCTGTCATCGTGCGCTCATGTGAAGGAGCTGATCCGGACCAAGCAGGGTCAGTTCACCCTGGAGGAGCACGCCCTGCACGAGGAGCAGTGGACGCTGGAACACGTCCTGCGCTCTCTGCAGCCCTGCTCGGAGCCGAAGCCTCCGGGAGCTAACACCTGAAGGGCCTCCGAACGGAACCACGCGCGACTAGCGCGGGCCGCAGTCTGTTTGGTTGGCGGTCATGGCTCGCCTGCTGGGCTCTACCAGCCCAGAGAACGTGCGGTCTAGACTTGATGCTTTGGAGCGGGATGGGGCACGGGCTGCTCTGCACTGCACTGGGGAATTCCACTCATTTATTCTTTTTCTCTCACCGGTTAATTCAATATATTTTTTTAATAACCGGTTCAGGCCCACCTGTTGTGATGTACAGTTACAGACATTTCAGAAATCCTCTCCACCATATAAAAATAAAGTATCCAGTTGGACAATGCCCACCACAGCGAAGTCGTTTTTTCTTCCAGCAACAATTGTATTTAATCTTTGAGAACAACAGAAATGTAAACGTAATATATACTGGGACATATTAGTATATACCAATACTGTGATATCGCCTTCATTCATGTGCAGAACCTACAGGACCCCCTTGTGCTATAAAATGACATGTAATGTCAAATGCACGCACAAAGCAGGAGAAGTGTACGACTCTGTTCTCGTGCTGTTAACGAGAGCATCACACTATAGAGATGTTTTCCTTTAAACATTGATCTACTCCATATTTGAAGGTGTTGTTGCATTAGCGGTGGTGTGTTAATTCAGCAATCTCTAAGTGAATTTGTCCAGCACTTGCAAATGAAATAAATCTTCCAAGCGAAGCAGCTCTCTATTAAATACTTAATGAATGTTTAATGTTTTGCATTTCATGCAAACATTTCCAACATCACTCGTGACAAACAGCCCCTTCCGGTCATGAAGAAATGATTTAGTTTCATTGTCATCTCTTCGTGCCCAGTGAGGAGGACATAGAATAGAGGTGTACACGTCACAATTCATAATTCTCTTCAGTTCCTTGCATTCACTGGTTTTTTTATTTTTCATTTTTCCTTAAGCAGATAATGACTTCTATTCATGGTGAAGCAGGCAGTAGCGGAGCGAAGGCCAGTGTGCAGGATGTGAATTTATCAAGAGGTGACCAACCACATCAAGTCATAAGGTCATACTGTGATACAGCTACGGTCCATATTGCAAACAATCTTCCAAAATTGTGACTCCTTTTTTTATCATACTGCCGAATGAGTATTTCATATATTTCTCACCACAATAAAGTTGATGTATTTTTTAACCAAGTATATAATGTTTTAGTTAGTAAGACGTACAATATAACAGTTTGTCAAAAATCTGGATTCATGCAATATTAGTTCAACCAAATGTTTGGTGTGAACAGCATTAGACACATTCTTTATTTACAATTGAGATTTAACTTTGACTCACAAAAGCTTTTACTCGCTTTTATTTTATTGTCCTCCCCAGGCTGAAATGGATTAACAGGGAGTAGCTGATATCTATTTTTGATGTGTTCGATTAATATTCGATTAACCTATTCTACTCCAAAGTCTGTGTGCGTTCGACAACCGTTGGCTAATGTTCGGTGTTGGGCAGGGGGACAGCGACAGGCGGGGTCTCCGGGTCTCTGATGGGGTCTCCTGGTCTCTGACGGGGTCTGCGGGTCACTGATGGTGTCTTCTGATCTCTGATGCTGTCTCCTGGTCTCTGACGGGGTCCCCGGGTCTCTCACGGGGTCTCCTGGTCTCAGGTGGTGTCTTCTGATCTCCGATGCTCTGACAGGGTCTCCGGGTCTCTGACGGCGTCCCCGGGTCTCTGATGGTGTCTTCTGATCTCTGATGCTGTCTCCTAGTCTTTGACGGGGTCCCCTGGTCTCTCACGGGGTCTCCTGGTCTCAGGTGGTGTCTTCTGATCTCCGATGCTCTGACGGGGTCTGCGGGTCTCTGGTGGTGTCTGCTGGTCTCTGACGGGGTCCCCGGATCTCTGACGGGGTCTTCTGATCTCCGATGCTGTCTCCTGGTCTCTGACGGGGTATGCGGGTCTCTGGTGATGTCTCCTGGTCTCTGACGGGGTCCCGGGGTCTCAGGCGGGGGCTTCGGGACTCCGAATGGGTCTCCGGGTCTCTGACGGTCACTGCGAGGTTATCAATCGTTGTCCCGGACAGGAGCCCGACGCCGGACTAAGCCGGGCCGAATCAATGAGCTGCAATCATTGTCTCAGTCCAAATATTAGCCGCCCGCTCCCTTCTTTCATGTCTTCAAGGCCGCTCGTCGCCTTGTTTGCTCCCCCGACTCCACTTTTATCTCATTGGAGCCATTAGAAAGTCGGCGGTTCTAAACATCGAACCCATTGGATTCAGCTCGTGTTCAGTTCGATCGATCCAAAGTAACTTGGTTTCCTCCCAACGCTGAAGCGCCATCAATGACGTCACCGTGCAATAAAGCAATAAAGCAGAAAGCAGCGCTGGGACAACTCGCGTGTCCGTGGTGTAACCGCGTTACGGAGGACGTCCCGGTTATCGTGTAACACGGAACGTGTGGCCCAGTGAGCCGTTAAAGCCATTTGCGTGTAGTCGTTGGTGTATATCAGCTGGTGGGTTTGACAGGAACTGTACACACATTCAAATAGTGAGTTAATCACCCTCCGCTGGGGAGGAGGATTAGTGAGCTCGTATTACATTGTTTCAGATAACACTGAACTGTTTGATTATGCAAAGAAGCGTTGAGCGCCACGTTTAAGCTCCATTCGGGGCCACAGCCCTTGGCTCGTGTCATCTGGACTGGACCCTTTTTTCTTGACTTCAATTTAATGTCAGTGAAGGTTTAAACTCAGGGTCTGCTGGTCAGTCAGAGCACAGCGACCCCTAAAAAACATCCGTGTTCTGTAAAGATCAATACAATTGTCGTACAGATAAATAGAATACTGTATTATTGCAATATGTGGCGTGATCGGATCTCGCTCATTATGCTCTAATGTTGCGAAAAAGTATGTACTTATTATTGTTTCTGATTCCTTAGTCTCTTCTGGCCGGAGTGCACTTAATCTACACGGATAGTTTGCAGATTAAGATCTGTAGCATGATAGTTTCATGAAATGGATGCATTGTTACAAAATAAACTGCCCAACCACTTCCATCCAAACCAGCTGCTGTTCACAGATGATAGATAGCATTAAAAGTATCAGCCAACTTGTAATACTTTCTTAGATTTCAAATGCAGTTTTTTCTTGTAAAATAGAAAAAAATGCTTTGATATTAATGAACGATCTTCCTTCTGGTCATGACGAAATTATTTAGTTTCATTGTCATCTCTTCGTGCCCGGTGAGGAGGACATATAGGGCCAGAATAGAGGTGTATACGTCACAATTCATATTTATATAAGTTATATCAGCCAACTAATACTTTCTTAGATGTCAAATGTAAAATAGAAAAAATTGCTTTGATATGAATGAAGGATCTTCACCTCCATCACTGACTATTAAGGCACAGTATGGGCCTCCTTAAAGCAGACTGGGTAAGACTTGATGCCAGGAGGCGTATATGAATATGCAGATAGTCTAATCTAATAGGACAGGAAGTATTGCCACCGAGGAGATCAAATATGGTTCTATTGCTAGCAACCCAGTTTATTAATATGTTAAATTCGTTTGAAGTAATGTAAAGATCTGTTATTTATCTTTTTCCTAAAGGTTTGATTGGTTGTGATAACCAAACCTCTACCGGCATATGGCGCTCTGTTAGATTAAAATATCAAGGCATTCCTTAAAGAATTAAAACATTTTGCTTTACAAAACACACGCGCGCGTTAATGTGTTACCAAGTGATCGGCCGCACTGATCTGAATCCCATGGAAGACAATCATCGATGATCATTCTAAGCCAATCAGAAACGACCTCTATAGCCACCTGCAGGAAGTTTGTCGTACGCTTATCTCCTCCCTTCTCCGCCTGCAGCCAGATAACAGCCGCAACAGTTGGAGCGAGAGCCGGGCACGTCCGCCTCTGCAACCCCCCTATGGACACCAGCGCAGTGTGACTCTCCGTGTGCCGCGCGTTGGGAAGCCAGTACTGAGTGTCTGTTACTGAAGAAGGTCTTTCGAGACACCGTCGATAAAGACGAAGGCTATAGGGGAGAGAACGGGGGAGAACGACGCAGCTTTCCGGTAACACAGCTCCATGGTGGCCAAACGGCACCATGAGCGTCCCGCTTTACGCGCCGACTCCCATCCAGCCGGCTCACCCGACACCCTTCTACATCGAGGACATCCTGGGGAGGACCGCCGCCACCTCCTCGCCTCTTCGTCCGCCTCCTCCTGCTGCACCACCCCGATCGTTCCCACGCCGACCCTGCCGTCACCCAACTCCTCCTTCACGAGCCTCGTCTCGTCGTACAGGACGCCGATATACGAGCCCACGCCAATCCACCGGCGCTCTCCCATCACGCCGCTGCTGCCGCCGCACTGAGCGCAACGTACGCCTCGGCCGGGGCTTTCGCCGGGTCCATCTACCCGTTCCACCACCAGCACCACCGCTCCATGGGGGAGTACGCACACGCGCTGCTGAGGCACGACCCTCTCGGTGAGTTGGAGGTTTGGAGTCGTGTTTTGGGAACACACCACTCACAGTGGGTGTAATTTACAGCAACATGCATGCTTGGGTGAAGTTATTGAAGTGCAGGCTTCATGAAAAAATGTTTTTAAATTATAAAAAGTGCTTGTTTCGTGCTGTATTTTCGGCCTATATCATATGAATTGTTGTTTTGTCATGTGAGAAATGGAATAATTTGGCTTTAACTTTTAATTGAACTGGTTGAACTGGCTGATGTGGCACCATACTTTCACTGTTTCCCCTTCTGCAGGACAACGTTTGTGTCTTCAAAAGCGTCGTTTCAGGGCCAACGAAACTCTTTTTTTTTGCATGAGTATATCACGCTTGATCGTGCATGCGTGTCGAACCCCAGTCTGCATAGTTCCATGCAGCCTGCTATACATGAGCAGAAGATCGCATGGGGGGGGGGGGGGGGGGGGGGGGGGGGGCCCTTGGAAAAGTTTCCCCGGGACTTAAAATTTTTCCCCCCCCAAAAAAAAAAATTGCCCCCCCCCCTTTTTTTATTTTTTTTTTTGAAAAAACGTTTTTAATTGGTTTTTTTTTTGGGGGGGGGGGGGAGGGGGGGCGCATGACAACCTTGACTCTTTTTCCTGACTCCCATTGTTCTGAACATCAAGGGGAGCAAACCGGCTAAATCACTTGTTATTTCACGTGCATTGTGGGTACGTTTATCTACGTGTTAGCACCAAAAAACACCCGACGGGGAAGAGAAGTATCCCGCTGCACATTGGAGCACCTTAAATGAATCAGGGCCTGAGCTCCGGTAACTGGAATGGAAAAGCTGCGGCGTTTCGGACGGGGCGTCCCGGCGTGACTGGCCTTTTTTTTTATCATTTTGAATAGTGGAGCGGGGCCCGTCTGACTAGCAGCGGGCCCCTTTGTCCGCGCAGAGCGGAAGCCCGGAGGAGTAAATCTGCTCTCAGAAGCTGTTGAATGTTTTCCTGGCTCCCCCCGGCCAGCCGCTTCCTCGGGAGCTCGCTGCGCGCTGCTGATTATTTTATCGACATCCTCAATACAGACGCATTGAGGAAACACTCGGCCTCTGATAGCCCGGGTCCGTTCTGCGCGTATTGTTGCACTTCCTCTGGCGGGGCCCGCGAGGATGTGGCAGACTTTCTTTCTGGTTGCGGGCGAAGAGAAAAGAGAAGGGGAGCCCAAAGCAACCGGGGGGGGGATTAAAGTCTCCCTCTGGTTAATTAAAAGTGCTCGCAGACACCACAGAACGGCCCTCTTCAAATAGACTCTGGTGTCCTCTAATTACACATATATGAATAATGGCGATGTGACTCCATTCGTGTTGGTCTACTGCGTTTTCTTAGTAGTGTAACTAAATAGTTTGACTAAGACTGTAAACTATAAACTGCTACAAATAGGACGCGTGGAAACCTTCGCAAAATGAGTTTCGTCAGCTTGAATTGGATCCCTCTCGTGGTGTTTCTGTGTTGCGTGTCTCGTGGGGACTGCATTAGCTAACTTCCTCAGGAGAAGAGCAGTGAGACGTTTGCCTCTCAACAGATTTTTGCGGTGACACGATGCCATCGCCTCTAATCGCACCGCGGAGCAGGAAGCACATGAAGCGGATATTTGGCCATAGTTTTCACTCTGTCACGACCTTCCTCAAAAAAAAAAGAAAAGAAAAGAAAAAGAAACAACAGCGTGGTGGCCACAGCCTGCACTATTGTTTGTTCCAGGCCATTAAGAGCAGAGGAAACCAGGCGAGACGGCCCTGATTACCCGGGACACGTTTCTCTCACATCCATCTGATCAGTAGTGACCAAAATATAGGAAGCGACACCTAATATCTCTACGAGACTGCTGCTGCTGTTTTCTCTTAAAGATTAGTAGTAGTAGTAATAATAATAATAATAGTAGTAGTAATAATCATAGTGATTATAGTGTAGATGACAGTCAAGTTGATAACAATACTGATATGAATTATTATTGTTGTTGTATTAACAATCATATCTGCACAGTTTCCTGTGAAGTTAAATAATGATGTTTGCTATTTGAAATGTGTACATGAGTTATTAAATGACACGTGCCCGTCTCTTCCTTCTCCAAAGGCAAACCTCTGCTCTGGACTCCCTTCATACAGCGGCCCTTGCACAAGAGAAAGGGCGGCCAGGTCCGCTTCTCCAACGACCAGACCATCGAGCTGGAGAAGAAGTTCGAGACGCAGAAGTACCTCTCGCCCCCGGAGAGGAAGAGGCTGGCCAAGATGCTGCAGCTCAGCGAGAGACAGGTGGGGGGAGAGAGAGGGATTTACACTACTTTCATTTAGCTCTTCTATTTTTATTTAAGATTTATCTACGTTCATTTTTTATATTGTTATTGTCTTTTCTTTTAGACCGTATTTGTTTCTTGATTTATATTATGTTTCGATTTTTTTTTTATTGTTCTCACTAATGTGTCTCTTTCAATTTCTATAGTCTATAGTCATATTTGTGCGTTCCACCTTTGTAATAATGACCGGAAACGTAGTGGCATGTATGAACTGTACCACTGGATTGTGTATTGGAACAGTAGCTGTTTTTATTGAATCGAATTTTAATCCCATTTTCTTTTTGAGATGTTGATATTTTAGGCTGCCTTTAAAACATCTGGCGGGGGACAGCAAATGGAAATTAGTCCAACTCTGGTTGACTTATAGTACTGTTGATTGGTGTGCATTGTCCCAGCAAAATAAACAAATTAATCAATAAATAAATATTGATTGAGGGAGCCGTTCGGAAACTCAAGGAAGAAGGAGCCTGAAACATTTTAAATTTGTCTTTTAGGTCAAAACCTGGTTCCAAAATCGACGAGCGAAGTGGCGGAGGCTAAAACAGGTGAGGAGATTCAACTCGTAGCGTTAGAATAGTTATACATAAAATGTATTATTAGTGTCATTATTATTATTATTATTAGAAAATGGTCCCCGTGCCCCTATATTAACCATTTCCATTATTTGCATTAGGAAAATCTCCCGGGGGGTAAGAGGGAGACGGATGAGGACGGCGCCGCCAGCGGGAGGAGCAACACGGGAGACCACACGACCGAGCCCTCTGGGCCCCGGAGCCCGCAGCAGAGACAGACACCACCGGCCTCGGAGCCGGCGCAGGCGGGCCGCTGCATGGCGCGCTCCGGGTCCCCGCAGCAGCAGAGCCGCGCGGAGCGGGACTCTGACGTGTCAGACGACACGGACCAGGAGCTGGACATCGAGGACGACGAAGCTTTCACGCTGATCCCGTAGCACAGAACTGCGCGGCCCCACACGGACACTGGGCCCGCTTTGACTTTTGGAGCCCGATGATGAAGATCAGCAGAATCCTCTGACGCTCATCGTCACCCCGCGTTGATTGTCTTCTTCAGCCACAACGAAGGACACGTTGATAGACTTAAAATCTCCTGATGTAATATTCATACATATGGAGTATGCATCCTGATGTATTATTCACCCCTCTCACGGGACGATCGCCTCTTTAGACTTCTAGCACTGCTGTATTTGTGTTCATTGTTTGTGTGATATGTGGATCCTGGATGTTGTATCGGATAATGTGCGCTCGTGCTCATAAATCCATGGGCCGTTGCCTAAAAATGTGGTGTTACAATAAATAATGAATGCAGCGCAAATTATGTATTGTTGGGTGATGATATCCAATAAACTTTTTTACTATGTGCCAGTTTTGGATGGATCTCAGACGGAATGGATTCTAATTTTATGTTTCTTAAAATTGCACGTGGGAAAAAAGGAAAACGATGAATGATTTAATGTTTGGAACCATCTTCAACTCGGCAAAAATTATATCATAATATGAATAAATAATAGAGTGAAAACAATAATGAACCTTAAAATTGTAGACGTTGAAAATAATATTATAAATAGTGTGTATAAACTGAATTTGTAACAGTAGTATATTTCATTAAGGATTAATGATGTGTTAAAGGCTGCTATATGTAACATGTTAATGCTGTATTTATTGATTAACAATCATGTAGGCATGTGTATACAATTTATTTCTAACACTCATAATACCTCTGTGGGCACTGTATAATTACAGTAAGCATCAAATTATAACTATAATAATCATAACACAATATATACATGTTATAATCAAATGAGATAGTTTCATAATCCTTAATAATAGCTGGTAGCTCACCAACAATAATAATAATAATAATACACACAATTTTTATTACTCACTGTAATCCCTGTTGACGTTCTGATTATTTTATCTAAATTTTTGTTGACTTTACTTAAAGCAAAAAAGATAATTTAGAATAATTGTAATGCATTGTAACAGATTATAATGCATTCTAAAACAATATTATAATATATGACATCTGAAAATTCTTAAGATTCTTTTGAAAAGCATGACATGAATTATAAAGTATTATTTGATGTAATTATGAAATGTTTTATAATGCAATATAATTCTTGTTATAAATCATGATTATTTATGAGTGCTTAAAACTATTATAAACAGATAACAGCACACCTATTCATTATAGATGAATAAGTATGTGTAGTAAAAAGTGCTGTCGATACAAGCAGAGTAAAGAATAATGTGAAAAAGCATAATATTCACAGTATTGACGATACAAATTGGCCCCTTTCAGATGGTATATGTTTTTATATTTCATGATGGTGTCCTATTAATTACATATTTATGTATAATCAGCATTTGAACTGATAGTGTATGTGATTAAGTAATACTTATTATTATTTATTATATTCATTTTTAAAGGGAAAGTTATGGAAGTTGCTTGCTTTAGATAATCAACAGTGGACATTATACTCCAACTCGTCTGCAGGGATAATCTGCAGGAGAACTTGATGGTGGAGTTCGGACAGGAAGCATACTCAACTGCATTGTGTGTCTAAGAAGATTAACTTCATACATGTGTCCTAAAGAAATCATTTTAATTCGTTGTATTCATTGGTGTAACATTTTTGCTTGGACATCACCTTCCTGCTAGCATCGCACTTCAGTTAACAAGAACCATTGATACATACGAACACCTCAATGTGTTCTTCAGGAAGATGCTGCACCTACAAGTGCTTTTCCAGAATTTTACAATTATTTTTCTGACCCAGGCGAAGCTCATTTTAGGAGAATAGAAGCTGGAATCATAAAGTTCAAACCATATAGACCAGTCATCGCTTTCAGTTCTGCTGTTTCACCGAGGAATCAAAGTCAGCCACAGATTAGCAAACAGTTTAGTGCATGTCAATGGTCGTCCCATCACCACATTCAACTTCAAATAGCTTATCATTGAGTTCTCATGCAAACACTGTGGGAGTTTTTCAGTAAGTAGATTAGGTTAATGATTAAGTGAAGCCTCTGAACAGCAGGGACCACAGAAAGATAGCACAAGGCTGATTGTTTATACAATAAAATCACAGTACTTTTTAATACAACACGTGATTACAGCTGCTTAAACTGACGGACAGAATGTGATTTTGTGGCTGAATTTGGAAATAATAGCAAATAATCAAATTGTGATACATCTCAGGTTTAAAGCTCATTGTCTCATAACATTGTTTGTGTAATATTACTAAGGTTCATTGGCCCCACAGATACACAGCTTTTCCAAAACCAACAGTATGCACATTGATCTTAGTCTCTGTATTGTGTAATGGTTCACAAATTTTGCAGGGTAAAGTCAACATTCGGATAAATAGCCCACACAGTTGGTGCAGGAAATGTTCAGAAGATCGCTGTTTGATTCCAAAGTGCCTGTCTGATCGGGTCAATTAACACACAAACGAACGCACACATTTCTGTTTACATCACAGAGGAAGACATTACATTCATTTCACTAACCACTTGTTGTAACATGGTCACACATTGTTTCTCCTGATGACAAACATGTATTTTTCAGTAGTGGCATCATGTGAAAAGCTGACTTACATGTAGGAAACAACATACTGAATGAATAATAGTATTCGGATATCACTGGTTCTCTTACGCAATAGATGGGATCAATATGTCATAAATTCAAGGGCATTTTTGTTTTGACAAATCAACACAGTCTCATGGCAGTTCATGAAATAGTTAATCCTAATAGACTCTATGTGTGCAACACAAAAAAGAGACAGGGATTGAAAACCTGTGCTAATGTTTTGCACTTTCTTGTTGTTAGAATCCCCCAAAACAACACAACCTCCAACCAACAATGTCTTTGACAGACTGCCGCTAAACCATTGGCTCCTCCTTCCTGCTCAAGACCTCAAACATATATACGTTTAACCATTTGAATTTGCTTAACACTGTCATTATTGTGCAAACTCACCCAGGGTGTTGTTGTCAAATTAAGTGAAAGTGAACCCAACCCAATTAGATCGGTGATATGTAAACCAAACACAATGACCAAATATACTGTATGTCTTCACTATAAAACACTTTTCAGCTCCCAAGCACATGGCGACATCAGGTGTCATCCATTGGGACAAAGTACTTCATTTTGTCTGTAGGTGTTATCATAAGTCAACGTCTCTGAGCAGGGATCAGAGACTTTGTATCGCCTCTTTAATAGGATGAAACTGTCATAAACAGGGAGGACAGTATCCCCACCGACACTAACTATCTATCAGCGCTGTGTGTCTGTGTGAGTGTGTGTGTTCCCTTGAGGTACTGGTGGAAACAAGTTAATGTGTGGTTATATTTGAACGACTGTGGAATGTGTTGACTGTTGACCTTGGCCAAATGGAAGCCATTATCTCCCCTCGCTGAGACCCCCCCTCCTCCACTGAACTGATAAATTAATGAGAGAAAACACCGCTTACATCGATACTACTGTCGCCAGCAGCCACAGAGACACGGGGAGGGAGCAAAGCAGAGGGGAGAGGCGAAGGGAGGGAGAGGTGGAGAGGGGGAGAAAAAGAAACATAGCCAGGCACTGACAAGAAGAAATACCTGACAAAAAAATAATTGAAAATATACTGTTTCACTTTAGCATTACATTTTTATATGCCTACTAATTTAGAATTTAAAATAAAAGTAAAATAACAAAATGTTTACATGAATGATTGCAGTGTAAATGCACAACTTTCATTTTCATTCATTTCCATTTCAAAGTGTTGTTACTGTTAGTGAAAGCTGAAAGAGAGTGGCAGTGATGTCTAGGATCTATCACACCTTCAATCGAGGGGTTGTTAACGGGTAAAGCAAATACCCTGATTAGGACGTACAAACAGGATGAATCAAAAAAGTTCAAAAGCAACAACAAAACAAGGTGCAATCATTGGAGTGCGGATCTTCACCAGATGGGTCTGCAAGGACACACTGCAAACACATTACAAACTGTATATTGGTTAGACAACTATACACTCTCCAATTCCCACATCTAAAGGCAAGTTTACAGTCACCAATTAAGCTAACCATCAAGTCTGTGGACAGTGGGAGGAAGCTGGAAAGAACCCACATAACATGTAAACTTCCACAGAGAGGCCCCTGGGATCTTCTTGCTGTGATAACCACCACAACAACGTGCCTCTTTAGAGTTTCTGTTCAGAAGAAGTCCAAAACTAATACCAAAACCGATGTGTTTCATGCTCAGAGTTAACAGTGCGAACAGTGCGTTTACTTCTGTTAGCTAGCCATCGTTCTACCGACCTGAGAAGACGCGCTCAACTTGTTTTTCATTGGCCTAACAATAGTATACTTGTGTTATAACTGGGGATGCAAATTAAGAGGAACAATGTTTTAAACAACGTCAATCTAATATGTTATCAATGCTTTCAAAAAGTGTGACTCAGTACAACCACACGAGGGTCTTGATCAAACATTAATGAGTACAAAATACATTAGGCTGATGCCTCAAGCGGTAGGCAAGATTAGCTGTGGACAAACAGACACAGTGACACACACACACACACACACACACACACACACACACACACACACACACACACACACACACACACACACACAGAGGCAAGATCTTGTTCATAATCTATAGTTATAATAAAATGACTATTAATTTGTTGATAATGATGTATAGAATGATATAAATATCCTAAAATATCTAAAAACACAGAGATGAAATGGGATGAATTGTTCTTTGTATATTGGATATGTCATTATAGAGCATAGTGATGGTATCCAACACTGTAACAAATTGCTGTAAATTTACGGTGCATTTCTAACGGTATCTTACAGTATGTCATAATAACTGTAGCATACAGTTAAATTTCCATCCCTTGCTTGTAAATTAACGACCAATGTCATGAATAAACAGTTAAAGCTGTCAATTTACAATAATAGCAGACTACCGTAATTCAACTGCATGTTACATATATTTTATGAAGTGGTGGAAATACACATACAAGTGCAGTGAATCACAATCCATCTACATCTGTTGTAGGTTAATGTATGGAAGCCCATGTCAGCCACTGAAAAACAGGTCCTGTAAGTCATCATAATGAGATAGTATCTCATGAGATACGATGATGACTTTGACTTACAGGACATTACTATACATGCAGCTGTCACTTTTATCTAAAACACCCATTTATGTGGAGTAATTGGGGGTTAGGTGTCTTGCTCAGAGGTACGCCGACTTTGCACAGGGAGCAGCCAGGATTTGAACCGCCAGCCTTGCACTGCACAGCACACCCTCCCTATCCCATGCGCCACCTACGCTGTCATTTCAGTTGCTGTAATATAAAGATG